GTAAAACAGAGATCAAATCCGAAAACTTAGTGAACTTCTGAGCCCTATATTTTGCTACATGACAATATTAGTTGCAGAGAAGGTCGAATATGTCTTCTCCAGGAGATCTTCTTCGGTCAAGGTCTCGTTACAGAACTTGAGAAGTAATCGGATTTGACAAACTTCAGAATTATATTCATTCACATACTTAAAGTCTTGGAAGCGCAAATGCTGCTAGTCATGTCTATGTCATTTTGGTGATCAAAGTGATCAACCAAAGCGATTCATGGTGCTCGTGGATCCTCCTCAGCAAGGTACTCGGTTTGTAGTGTGTCATGAATATGTCTTCAGATAAAGATCATGACAGTGACTTTCTCAGCTTCACCAACCAGGTTGTCCGTCTCATCTTCAATGGCGAGACGCAAATTCTTTGAGGTGAGGTGGAGCTTCACATCTTGGACCCATTTGAGGTAGTTTCTTCCAGAGACCTCCAAAGCGGTAAAGTTGAGTTTGTTCAAATTCGACATGTTCCTATCACAAAATAAATGGACAAGATGTGGTTAGTGTAATCGAGAAAAAAAATCAATTCATTCATATAGGAGTAGAACATTCAAGTTCTAATAGACATGTATTAGTTTAAATTTACATGAAAAAGCTTCGGGTTTTCATGGGTGATGTTTTGAAGGAAAAGTTCAGATTTTTAAACAAGGCATGTTTCTAGAAACTTCAGGTTTCGAAATAATTATGAACTTCAGGTTCATATGATCCTACAAACAAACACAAATATATATACAAAAACATGCAACAATAAAATATGCAAATAGAACTCCAGGTCTATAATTATAATGGAATTAATTATTTGGACTTCGGGCCAAAAATTAAAGTGTGGGTGAAAAAATTATAAAACCCATAGGGCCTAAAAAAATCGGCATTTAAACTTGGGGCCTAAAATAATAGGCCAAAGCCCACGGGTGGGCTGAGTAAATTAAGGACCATAAGGTCCAAGCCCAAAAACTGGGTTGGGGTTAGGCACGTGCTGATCAGTCCTCAAAATAAATCTGGGCTACAGGCCCAAGGCAGAAAAATGGGCTGCAAAAAAGCAGGGTCCAAAGCGTAGGCCCAAATAGAGCGCTAATTAGGTGCGATGGGGAGCACGAATACCCCAGCGAGGCTGGGATCCAGTGCGGCACAAACAGATACACCAGCAAAAACTGTGATTGTGTGTGACGCGGTGCATAGGAGAGACGGCAGGAGCCTAGAAGAGTTCAATTGGTTCTTGGGCCGAGTTATCACCAAAGCCCAAAGGGCTGGTGACGTGGATCAAGGCGATAGGCACAAGCAGGCCCAATAAAAGGGTGTTGTGCGAGATGGACCAAAGGAATCCAAGGCCCGTTAGGGCTCGGGTTTGGATCTTCAGGCCACCCCAGCGGCGCTGGGTGTGGGGATCCGCCAGAGATGGTCAACAGCGTCGCTTCAGGCGGTGTTCCTTGGTCGGTGCAAACCGTGGTTCATTGGAGAATCAAGATTTGACGACAGAGGGTGAACCTCAACATCAGGGGTGGTGAGAACCAAAAGGATTCGCGTGAATCCTACGAAAAACTCACTAAAATCTTCTGGAATTTCGAAGATCGTTGGTGAAAACGATGAGTTTTGTCCAAATCACACGACTGTTGGTCGTGTTTTCGTCAGAAAAATCAACCGGGGGGGTGCCTGTGCTTCAGGCCGAGGGTTTCAGATGGGGACAATGGTGCCTAAAATGCACTGTTTGGTTCTAGGCTTGCTGCCTTGAAATTTGTGGCTGGGCTGGGCTCGCCAAGCCGACGCAGACTGCTGGCTTGGTGCTGGCAGCTTGCACGGTTGCGTAGCATGGAGCTGGTGATGTTAGGGTTTTACGAAACCCTTTTTTTCTTCTTTTTTTAGATTAATTCAACATATAATTTAATGCATGAGCATATATATGATGCAATTCATGTCAATATCAATTCACATAATTCAACAATTATAGATATAATGCATACACAATTTATGTAGAATCTATAATTCGAAAAACGTAAAGTTGGGTCATGCATTATGGTGAATGTTCATGCTATCAGGGTTGCAAAAATATTGAGATAAAACTCGTTGTTTTGAAATAACCTGATTGCGTGATGATATTGATGAACTGGTTTGATATTGATGTACTTGTTCAATATTTTGTGTGATGAAATAACCTGATTGCGTAATGTTATTGATGTACGTGTTCAATAGTTTTCGTCTGTGTTGGTATATGTATGTATACTGTTGATAACCGAGGATGTGGACCCTGAGTCAGTCGATTGGGGTGGGGGAGGTGGTCATCCAAGGGGTCGTTAAGTTTGGGCTAGGGGGGAAAGTATCAAAGTCAACTTAAGTCTGCTCACACTACACCTTTTATTTGTTTGTTAGCAAGTATTCTTTTTAATTAGGGTTTGATTCATGACTCTCTTCTTTGTACATATACTTTTCTTTTCTTTTTAAGTAAAATTTGACTGCAATTAGTGTTTGGGCTAGGGATGGATTCTCGATCTATTCGAGGTTAGGTTCCTTATTTTTGCTTTATGCAATAGGAGAGTGGGCAACTATATAGGTCTAGGATCTAACTACCATTCAAAATACTTTCAAATGTGTATTTTACATTTTTTGGTTGGCAAAAAAAATCTACAATTGAGAGAGGCATCTTGGCTGAAGAATTTAAAAATAAAACTAAATTTACATATTTTTTGGCATCATTTAGTGGTGGGTCCTACCAATCGAAAGATAAATAAATAAATATTAAATTTAGATATCTCGTATTGGAGTAGAACCTCCATTTACATCTCACAAAAATATAAAATGAGATATAAATATGATCTTTGCATCTCAACTTTGCATCTTCCTATCATATTGGGGATGGTCTCAATCTTTCATCACCATCTCGTTGTTATTGTTCAAAAGAAAAATAAACTTGCCACACATCCAAGGGAAATGATGATTCCAAACTGAATTAATCTAATTGGGTACTGATTAATTAATTAATTAATCTAATGTAGTTGAAAACGATTTCAGATCTCTAATGAGATAAATAAACTAAAAAAGTTCAAGTGGTTCCAAATAAGGGGAGGTTCTGTTTTATGAGATCACTAAAACATGACAAAGGCAAAAGCAAGACTACGGAACCCATGTGATTGAATTTCTAACGTGGCTAACTTTTCTTGTGGAAATGTAAGCATCCAATCCCAACAAATTAAAATAGGTGGTAAGACCCATGATTTTAAGCACTTAAAACACTTGAATGTGTGATACTCTTAAGAAGCCTTCTCGTGGCATATATATATATTCAACTTTTTGTTAGGCAAAGCGAGACCGCATGTAGTCATTAAGTCTGATGAGCAACATATATATTTTGATACCATGTTAAAATTTGAGCATTTAGCTTGTGTTTGATTGGCAATTGAGTGGAGACATATACAAGATCTTCTAATTAAGCAATATTATATACAGGACTTTCACCTATTAGAATGCAAGTATCAACAAAAAAAACCAATTGACCTTACGTATAGTCGTTTAAAACTTCACAATCTGTGTTTACAAAATAGAAAATATGATCAAAATAAGACAAATAAAATAATAGGTGGACAAAGCATCCATTTTTCTTTAGTGGTAAATAAGGAAATAAATAAGAGGGCCCTGTTGGGTAAATTTTTGCACACCAACAATGTCTGCATTTGGTTAACCGAATTGTTCAGCCTTATTCTGAATTTCCTTGGCATGATTGTCTAGTAGTACTAGCAGTTATTAAAGAGTCGATCATCGAAAGCCTACAAAGTTGGGTAGTGAGCTCGAGCACGTGGCCGGCCCGGCCGGCCGGATGATTAATGCATTGTGATTTAAACGACAGTTTTAAATGTGGGAATTATGAGGAAAATCTTCCATTGATTTCTTGATGATAATAGTACACAAAGAGAGCTATTTTCATACAGATTAGATAACCCATCAATTTCTGGATGATGCGTGCAGATGCAGTATTGTTCTTAACAGTTAATCAGGTGCATGGTATTTAATTTAGGAGTTGCAAGTCACAACTTGCCTGCCTGGCATGAAGTTGATGCCTACTTATCTCATAATAAAAGTGATATAATTAATGGACCGTACGCGGTTCAATAAATAATTGACCCTTAAAAACAGATGGATCGATCAAAAGCAAACGGGAAGCTCAAGGCCTCCAGCTAAAAGGGGCAAGAATGACCTGTTTGTTAGACGGTCACTCGTACTGCTCTGTGTTGCATACCAACTGTATACATATCCACCGGTGAAGGAGGTGTGCATTTAATTACGATTGCTACTGATTGTTTGTGAGGAGAACTACTTATATAATATAACTACATCGTTATGTGGCGTTTTATATAAATAAATAAGGATATTTGAACAAAAAAATTTTACATGTATGTTGGCACGGAATGTTATTAACAGTGTACCCATATTATATAAATTATTATTATTTGTAATTTTAAACGAGTCACCAGGCTTGAAAATTGAACTCAAGCCTTGAGTCCCTTTGCGCGTATAGATATGCACATCATAGACGTGGTTTCGTTGCCGATGCATTATTCTGCAGGTGTAAAAAAATTGCTTTACATCTATTTTAGGAGAAATTTTATAGTATGCCGGGAACACGGTACACTAAGTGTCATAATATAATTGGTTAGAATTTTTTTTTTTAAATTTCCAAACAATTTTATTATTACACTTGATATAGCAGGCAACCCACTGAAAAATCTCTCCTATTTTAGGGTTTAGGATTAAGAGTTGAAAAGACATGACTTATGTTCAACTTTGTTTAGCTCTAATCTCATTAATTTAATTTACCGGTATTTTGATCGAGGTCTAAAAATTTGAGCTATTGTTGATTTCATCCAGTTTTCTTATTTTTCAACTTTAATTAAATTTCTTGGTTTGTACATTTTTGACTTAAATTTTTAACTTGAATATTTAAATATGAAAATCTAACCACTTTATTGAAAAATAGTTAAAAGAAAATTTATATGTCATCATATATGATACTTAGACTGACACACCCCGACCGAGATCGAGGCATGTTGGCCGTCACGTGAGGATGACGTAGCCATGTGCACAGTGCGGAAGCAATAAGAAAAAGAAATATACGAATAAATAAAAACCGAAAGCTACCAATGTGCACTAATAAACAGGAAGTGCTAGGAGTGAGATACAAGTGTAAATATTCATAATCAGAGCATAGAAAGTTTAGGTGCAGTTCAGTAGGACAAGTACTAGTTATACAGTATCAGAAGATGTTCTACAAATATTTTATTCTGTCAGAATCGCTGAGATCCTCGTACGCCACCAACACCAAGTCTACCTAAAACCTGGAAGGGCGTAAACAGAAAATGTGAGTGGGCAAAAACAAAGCTTTTCAAAACCATTTCATTTATCAAACGCTCTAACCCCTCGCCGTAAAACATGTATAATTTTCCCATAAATAGAATATAAACATATGCATAAATGAATATATATATATATATATATCTCAAATCAAATCATGCTTCACATAACTATATTCATAAGTATGCCATGCCAAAACATAAAATAGAATAAGTAACTCAAGTGAGAATAAATTCATAGAAAATAACATATTAGTCGGAACCCCTGCAGAAGTCTGTACGGCTGAAATCATAGCTCATTAGTCAATCTAGCCAGAGTCACTGCAAATGACCTATACGACACTACACTGCACACAAGTCGGAACCACTAAAAGGGTTTGTACGACAAGATTGGGTGTAATATAATTATGCTCAATGCTATGCTCTCATGATAGCTGGGCGATAAATCGCTAGTCACTTACGAGTCAGAACCACCTATGATGGTCTGTACGACAAGACTGTGCACTTAAATTGGATCCAATGTGAGCATATGGTGCGGGAGGTGACATTATAAACAGGCATGTACTATATCTTTAGTAATTCACAATCACTTGAGGTGCAGGTTTACGAGCTCTATGCTTCTCAATTAATCACACCCATTGATCACATTCACAATTCATAAACTCACCTGGGCTTACCTGAGCGTCCACAGCACCACAATTATATATTATGCATCATATACTATTTCATATTTTGAATATAAATTTATATGCATGGCATTTCAAAGCATACTTTCATTTAAACGCATTTTCTGGGAAAATATCAAGTATATGAATATATACTGAAAACCAAAAGCCCACTCACTGGTATGTCGAACGGTCGTAACCCCCGAGTCGCCCTTGACTGCACTCGTCATTAGGATAAGTCTTCATATTTGCGAAACAACTATAAAAACGTTAATTTAAAGCACATAACCAACATTAGCTAATAACTTCTCATACATTGCTCAATTGAGGTATATGAATATACGATCGTGACCTACACAACCCCACGAACATCCTTATATTTTTAAATAATTTTTGGAGCCTTCACGCACCGGCAAGGGCACGGCCCTACGCGCGGCCATGCACAGGGACCCTAACGGAATCCCTTAACCCCGTAAGGAATATTCCGTTCAATAGTAACGGAATCCGTTAAACTAACCAACGCCGTTAGGAATATTCCGGCATCCCCTACCTTCAAACTCCGGCAACCGTTGCCGTCGCCGAAAACTGGGAAAATCTTAGAATCCTTATATCTCTGTCGTTTCTTAACCAAAACTTATGAAATTGGTCTCAATTTAAAGCTTATAACTAGAAGAACACATCCTTAACAATTTCAAGGCTTGAAATCCACGAAAACTCGCTGGAGAGAGCTCGATAATTCCTGCCAAATTTCAAACTCTCCAAACTCGACTTCCCGACGTCCAATTTGCTTGGTTTTTCTTCTCCGAGCTTCATACAAACGTCCTAAAGCTTCCTATGAGCTTAAAATCCCCTGAAACATCTATAATTATGACCACATGAACATTACTCAAATCGGGGGTGATGGTTTCTCAGGTTTTTGAGGGTTTCACGATTTAAAAAATGGCATATATGAACTCAGGGATTTGCAAGGAGTTCGAATCTTACCTTCTTGACATCGATTTGTGCGTGAAATGTGAGTTTGGCATTCGTTCGTACAAAGTTGACGAAAACAGAAGAAAATCGAGAAGGAGGAGAGAGAGTGCACGGGAATGAGAGAGAGAGAGAGAGAGAGAGAGGGGGGAGTTGGAGTAAGTGTGTGGCCCAAAATTGCCCACTCCAACCAACCAAAACAACAAAACAACTTAATTCCAATTAGTTCCACATACTTAGGAAAATAACTTGGACCTAAACCTAAGTTATGTACGCACACTACTACCCACGTTTAAGGGTAAAACCGTATTTTCACACCATCGATAAAATTATCCCAAAACAGGCTGTGATATAGACCATATATTAAAATCATTTAACTAAAAGGAAGAAACAATTGTATTTCTTTCTTAATTAATGAATAAGAAACTACAAAACAGTATTTATACACTTGTCAAAATAAAGCTTAGTGACTAATGAAACCTAATGAACTCACTAAACTAGGATTAGTTACAAAATTGTTATAATAAACCTACAATTGCACAAACAAACTATTAAACATCTAAGTATGAGTTGTTCCTTTACACCTCTCTAGTTGAACGGTGAAGGACTAAGTGACAGCCTGGATTGAAGATACTGAAATCTAGCTTTGGACAGTGACTTTGTATGAATGTTTGCCAGTTGAAGCTGAGTGTTGACATATTGAACCTTGAGTAAATTAGAAAGGACAAGCTCTATGATGTAGTGGTAATCTATTTCAAAATATATTATGGTTGTTTGTACCATACTTAGGGCCTCCGTATTTAGATCTCGTATAAATACTCGGATGACTCAAATGTAATTATGTAATAAAGGAATGGGCAAATATGTAATAAGTGAGGAACCCTTATTCTATAAAAGGACCCTTCACCCTCACCCTCACAATTAGGGAGGCCTCACATCCCCTCTCATATTGAGAGAAGCTCATCCTCACAGAAAGAAGCTCTCTCTCCCTCTTTCCTTCTTCAACATCTCTCAGAAATACAATATCAGTGTGGACGTAGCCCAAACCTTGGGGTGAACCACGATACATCTTGTGTTATTTACATTTCTTGCAGATTCACGGTCGGATTTACGTTGTTCCAAGACCTCTAGTTTTGTGCATCAACATTTGGCGCCGTATGTGGAAAACGACATGAAAAACTATGTCAGTTCTCTTTCATTTTTTCACCTCCACCGTGAATCTGCAAAATCACAAAATACCTAGAGACAGAAAAGATCCAAATCTCAAACACTCATCAGCTCTCTCTCTCAATCTCTACTTTTTGGCAAAAATTTAGAGAACTGAAGTATGAGAAACAAACCCACTAAATCTCTCAAGACACTCCATCTCCCACAAAATCACCACCAAAACCCTATTATTCAACCTCAAACTCTACATTGTTTTTGCCATCCTAGTCATCTGCCTCATCGCAGCCACCCTTCTCATCTTCCTCTGCCTCCGCATAACTCGAGTCTCCCGAAAATGCAAGATGTGCGTGAAGCACAGCTCCGGCTCAATCCCCCCAGTCTCCAAGGAGATCGCCAAGATCAAGGAACCGCGTCCACGCGCCGCCGACAATGGCGAGAGAAAATGTTACTGAAGGAGTAAAAAATGTCGGTCCTCTTCTTGTCGGGAAAATGGAAGAATATGACTGTTAGTAGCACGGGGCCTTGCGAAAGTTCAAGGCGAAAACCAAGAACAAACCCAGATGTTGTTGTTGCTTCAGTATCCGTTCCCCAGACTTCTTCTGCTGCTTCAGTCAGATCACTTGTGGGTCCAACCGCGAACTTAAGAGAAAGAATGAAGTACTTTATTTTCTTCTGATCTCTGACTCGCTACTCTCTATCTCTCTCTTAAGAACCAACTAAATCCCAGATAAGATTCTTCCTCGTCATCTTTATTACGTAACTGTCTCGTTCACCCTCTTAAAAAAGTGGCGCCACATATTTGCTAATTGAGCTCTCTTCTCTTCTCGCACCGCTCACCATGCTTACCACCTTGTTCATATTGAACCTAAAAAGGATAAAACGCCCCTCTTTTTTGTTGTTGTCCAGCTGTAGGGAGTGTGCAGTTTGTTGAGTTAGCTTTATCCTGAGCATGTGCCGTTTGTTGGGTTGGTCTTATCCAATCTCCCCAAATCGTTTCCCGTTTTCTGCTTCCCGCCACCATTCGTCAGTCAATGCCCGTAGCCGAACGGCGGTCAGTAGCATTTATGAAAAACGGCATCGCAGAGAATGGAGTTTGCCCTTCGGAGTCGGCTAATGGGAATCGCGACGTCTGGAGCTCGAAAGAGTCTGAATCTTCCTCCGCTGATCATCTTGTCATCATGGTCCATGGAATTATGGGAACTGTTGCAGATTGGAAGTTTGGGGCGGAGCAATTTGTTAAAACACTTCCAGATAAAGTTATCGTTCATTGTAATTACAAGGTCTTTAAAACCACCGCCATGGAATTTGAGGTAATTACAGGGGGGACCAAGGGCAAGAAGTCATCGTCGGTGCAGGTGTCGCCGGCGCCGCTCTCGCTCACACTCCCGTGGCAACGTTATGTCCCATACTCAAGAAATCCGAGGTGAGGAAGAAAAGGAAGAGCCTTTCCAGCTGCTGCAGTAGAAGCTCATCCTCCGTCACCAAGACTCTGGTCCAGTACAAGACTCATGGCTATCAAGGGTGAGATCTATGACATGTCCCAGAGCAGTGGATTTGGTATACTAGCATACAGAAATGGCAAGCACAGAACAAGATAAGATTCCACTTCTAAAAAATGATGTCTGGAGATGAGAAAAGCCGAGGAGAAAATGGGTTTACAGTCACTGCTCGCCCATGCTGTAAACATGCAAAGCAGAAAGCAAAAGTAGAGAAGAGAATAAAATCTAAGAGATTAGGATTTGACTGAGCACATGCATGACAGCAGCGCAGAGACAGAGACAGAGAGAGAGGTGTGGTGGAAAAGAAAAAGCAGAAAGCAAAAGTAAGGAATAAACATCCCACCAGAATGATGTAATTTATTTTTCTTATCTTTCGGAGACATCTGTGTAAACCCCATCAGAGGGTAATAAAAAATAAAAAAATAAAAAATAAAAAAAATAAAAAAGGCAAAGCCCAAAATAAATGGGCTAGAATGTTATGTGAAGGGCAAAGGCCCATAAGCCCAAAATAGCACTAACCAGGTAACCAAAAGTACGCCCAATACTCAGTGGCGGAGCCAGGAATTTAAGATAATGGGGTCAAAAAATAACTTTCAAAAATCGATCATACTTTCATTCATAATTGTCCACGACGTGTTCTCATATTTTGGAAACGTCGTATTACAACATCATTACTAATAGAATCATATACATCTTTCTCAATGTACACAACCAAACTATCATTCAACCATTGATCACCCATCCTATTACGATGTGGATTCTTCACAATTTTCATCACCGAAAAAGCTCTTTCAACTGAAGCAGTCGCAACAGGTAAAATCAATGCTAATTTCACTAGCAAGTACACCAGGGGATACTGTCTATCCCTCTTTGTCTCCACCAACTTTTGTGCAAGGTTATTAATTCCTTTCAAAGTAGAAAATTCATTATGCAAACGCATATCAAATATATAATTCTTCAGTTCATCTTCAAGAAGTGTGAGCTTCATATCAGAAAAATCCTTTGGATAAAATTTAGCAAGTCGAACTAACTTTTCAATGTCAAAAGCTGAGAATGAGTCATCTGGGCTTAAGCATGCAACACAAAGAAGCAACTCTGTACTTGTCTCATTAAAACGATTGTTCAACTCTTGAAGTTGCTATCAATAACATCAATAAAGAGATCAACACGGTAGTGATGAAGGTTTGTCAATTTTTCAACTCTACGTCGTGACCTCCCTCGAGCTACAAAGATGTCATTCATATCAGGAATATCAATATCATGCTTGCCACAAAAAGAAGAAACTTTATCAAGCCAAGCATCCCATCCATTATCCCTCATCGCTTGTAGTTGTTGCTTACATGCTTTGACTAAAGCCATAACACTCACTATATCGAGATCTTTCTTTTGCAATGCATGTGACAACACATTTGTGATTCTCAATATTTCTTTCATCAAAAAGAGACTAGAGACAAAATCAAAAGATTGCAAAAGATTCAACAAAATATCCGCTTCACCTCTTTGATCAAGACTTACACCATCATCTACAATCATCTCAAGCACCTCAATTACAGAAGAAAACATATTAACCAAGCTTACCAAGGTACCATAGTGTGAGCCCCAACGTGTATCACTTGCACGTTTAAGACTAGTTTCTTGGTTCAAGCCTTGCCCACTTGGAAGCTCATAATCTTGAATAGCTTCCATAACTTTGGTTTGTTGTCTTTCTCTAACCATGTCTCAACGTTTACATGATGCTCCAACAATAGTAACGACATTATTAACCAAGCAGAAAAAAGAGCCAATTTGAATATGATTTTTCGCCACGGCTACAAGAGCAAGTTGAAGTTGATGTGCAAAGCAATGAATATAAAATGCACTTTCATTTTCTTTCAAAATAAGTGTCTTAAGGCCATTAAACTCACCTTGCATATTGCTAGCCCCATCCTAACCTTGTCCACGCAATCTAGATATGCTTAATCCGTTTATAGAGAAGAATTGATCAATTGCCTCTTTAAGTGAAATAGCAGTGGTATTAGGAACATGCTTTATGCCCATAAATCTTTCAACTACTTGTCCGTTGGTATTCACATAGCGAAGTACAACTACCATTTGCTCCTTGACTGATATATCACGCGATTCATCAACCAAAACAGAAAAGAAAGCATCATCACCAATATCAAACATGATAGCATTAGTGGTTTCACATGCTGCTGCATACACAAGATCTTTTTGAATATCAAGTGATGTTAACTTGAGATTTTCAGAAGCATTTTTAAACACCACATCTTTAATACCCTCATTATGATCTGCGAGAAACTTCAAAAGCTCAAGAAAATTACCCTTATTGCTTGAATCTTCACTTTCATCATGACCGCGAAAAGCAAGACCTTGTCGCAATAAAAAGCGAATGCAATCAAGTGATGCATTCAAACGAGTGCGATAATCAATACGTGCTTAATCCGACTGCTTGTGAACAATTGTTTGAATATGTTGATTCTGATTCATTAAAGTTTCACAATGAAGTAAAGCTTGGTTGTGAGCACTATTAGGGCCTCTAACATGAACTCGAAGTCGACATTTTTTCTTCCAATTATGAAAACCTTTACTAGTAAAATTGTCATTACCTGCTTGGTCTGGAATCTCTAGCTTGAAGAGATAACAACTTCGACAAAAAACGGCATTTTTGGATATGCTATACTCCAACCAAGTAGGAAAGTCATCGAACCATTTCGGATTGAAACGGCGTTGTACTCCTGCAAATGAAGTATATGGAAATTGATGGGTTCGAGGTTGAACCAATTCCCTTTGTAAATAAGCTCTTCGAACCTGATCTCTAATATTTGGATCATATTCTGATATCCGGAGTCGAAGACCAGGATCTCCTGGAAGATTTGCCAGTATACTTTCTATGTTATTTTCATTTGAACTTTCAGGAATATCCGTTGTAGAGGGTGAGATGTTATCTTCGGTTGATTTTCTCTTAAAACTACCTCTCCATAACTGTTTTAAATAAAACCAAAAAGACTTTCAACAACATAATATAACTAAGTTCGGGATTCCCGAAATATTTTGTGTATTTCGGGATTTCCCGAAACCGAACCTGCATTAAAAATTTAAAATCAGAGACTGGTAAATCGATCAAAATTGAAACCCTAACCTTGATTTATCGGAGTTTGATTGTGAGAGGATGGGTGGGTCTTTGAATTCGAGAGGAGAGACAGAAAGAGTCTGATGGGAGAGAGTGA